ATAAGGAGTGCGTGGATCCCGAAGGGGAGGGAGTGAGGCATAACGCCGCCGGTCTGCTTTGGGTTTTTGGGTAGGTAATAGGTCACCAGCGATACAGCCGACCTGCATGAGTCACAAAAGAAGTGGTGACGATGAGGGGCGTGCAAGTTCACGAGTCGTGCTGTGTCGTACTAGTCGGCTGCTGACGTGGTGCTGCTTCCGTCGTGGGGAGAGTCCTCGGTGTAGGTTGTGGTAACTTGCATTGCTGCGGTTTCTGACTCTCTGACTATTTGACAAAAAGCTTCGGCGGGCGAGACATAATAACTGAAGGCCGACCTCGCCCACTGACATACCAAGTCGAAAAATTCAGCCCAAGACAGAACGATTCTTCAATTTGCCTTTTGCATTGGAAATTTCTGATGGAGGCTACATCAAGTCGAGACTACATCAAGTCGAGAGTACATCAAGTCTACATTTAGAGGAGCTGTGACGACAACGGGTTTCCTCGGTCGGGACGGGACAATGTCGCCGATCAGCGGTTGCGACTCTGGTGGGGTGGACGCCGCGCTAGGTCTGACTTCTCAGATGAGTTTCTGGTCTCAGAAACGACCAACTGCGATTGGCTGAGTGTGCGGAACCGCCTTCGCGTGTACCACGGGCCGGACGAATCCACCGAGCGAGGCAATTCCTCTGACCGCGTTGAGCGGATGCATGGTCATTGGTCCAAAGGAGCACCTGGAGGGTGCAAACCCGTCTGTCACCAATGCAGTCTTAGAGGAAGCATTTGGCAAGAAGCTGATGAAGTGGCGTGAGAGACTTGGAGGATCATAAGCGAGAGCGTCTACTGGCGGAAGTGCCGAAAGCATGGAAGGCGATCGCTGATTGATTATGATATGGAGAGGTCTGGTTGGGCTGGCGATGCCGGGCTCATCAGTGTTTTTTTTTCTCGTAAACCATAGTTTTTAGAAATCTGCATTTGAGTTTAAGTTTCATAGCAGGGGGAAGAGTCAGGGAAACTTTTCCCGGGTCTGCCACTACCCGAAACAACTGCATATCCCGGGCATGGACAGCGAGGCCTCCAACTTGGAAAAGGCGCAGCCTGGAAGATCAAGGTCGCGAAACCAATCTTCCAGTCTGCCGCCATCGACGGACATTGAACCGTGCGTGGAGGAGTAGGATAGTGTTTGCCGTGATGCTGTAGCCGTGCGCAAGGTCCTCTACCGATCATGGAGTGCGAGTTCGAAAACACTCTGTGCCGGGTATGAACCGAACGAGTTCCGAGCCGTCCAGGCTAGATAGGCGCGACCTGCCAGACGACCCACCAACACTCCCAGACCAACAGTTAGACCATCCTCAATCAACAACTTCGCCCTTGTAGATCATGCCAGCCAGCGGCACCCCGCTGAGTCGTACCTGTGCCTGTCTGGCCTGCCTTGCCCCCTCTTCTTCTTAACTAAGGGGGAGAGCAGAGACGCAATCCCATTGCAGTTCCCCGTTACCAGCAAACGGGGTCGCGAGCTACAAACCGATGATCGGTCGCGATGCGCAGGGGTCGATCGACATTCAACAGTGCAGCCTTCCAGGGGTTTGCTTCCAAGGCAAAGGTGGATTTGGACCAGGTGCTTGTCTCTAGACTCATCTTCTGTCTAAACTGCTATTCCGACTGAATTCTAGGAGCTCCACCACGCATCCTTATACACAAAATTGTTACTCGGTCCTTAAGGGGCCGTCGAATTAGTGATGGCTTCTCGAGCCGTTTTTGTCTTTTGGTCACTGGTAGCTTCGAACAGCTTCAGCAGTGTCAGGTCCTTGACGGCGTAAGTCATAACGGTACTACGTGTGCGAAGTTCCCGTGCGAAGTTCCCGGATTCGAATCGGGAGGTTCTTAGTTCAAATCCGGAGAACGCTGTACCTTCGATCATGCACCATCGATCATGGCGGGGTAGTCGTCGGTAGGAGCCGAGAGTGTCTGCATTCTGCGCCAGACCACAAGTAAATCAAACACATTTGGTGGTCCGAAAACTTGACACGCACCCCTACGTCTTTCGGCGTAGTTGTGAGCAGCGTCATGAGCACTATCAGAGCCATGACGCATAAGCCACCAATCGCTACGGCTACTGCACCAGTCCCAAGAAAAAGGCTCCCTACCAAGCTGGTCGCGGTTCTTCTCCTCAAACGGGTTCCAACCGAACGGGTTCCAACCGAACGGGTTCCAACCGAAGACCACTGCCAGTAATGGACCAAGTGCAAGAGTCCCCAGACCAATGGTCAGACCAGCCGTCATCTTCCACGTCCTTTTCGTAGCGGCCTCCATCGTACCCACCTTCAGGTGCGTTTGGGTTGTCGCCTGAACAGAATCTTCCATTACGGGCCGCCACTCGGTGGGCACAAGATCCCACCAGTCATCCAAGTCCTCCGCCTTCAGAGCTCTTGTAGAAAACACTTCCACCGCAATATCTCCCTTCTGCTGTGCGACGTCCAGGCACTGGCCATCAGCGACATGCAGGTCCCCCAGCCTTTTGCTGAAACTCTCGAGAAAGATTGGATCAATCGTCCCCACGCTTACGTGACTGCCTTTAACGCAATTTTTAATAGCAGCAGCAAGGACGCTCTCGATTCTCTGCGAGTCCGCACCAGCCTGTACAGACACCCCCCGAGCCTCGTCGTACATGTAGGGCAAGCAAACCTTAATGCGGTTCGCGTCATTCAGAAGGTCGAATTTCTTGTACTTGGGAAACTTTCCTGCTGGCGCTAAAATGAGGGCGTTCGTCATCGGTCCTCCGGAAATCCCGACGGTCGCCATTCGGGCCGTGCATTCGTGAACGTCAGACCTGCTGCCGTCAGGGTTCACAATGACCCCCAACAATGCTCGGCCCCTATCTGATTTCGGACATTTCTCTGAGCTTACAGTCCTCATTTTCATGCGCCAAAAAACCCGTCGTGGCAAACAACTGTAGGACACGACTGTTACCTCGTCACGAACCAATATCCTTTTCCGGTTGGTCTGGTTCAGAAATACCACCCACCCGTCTCGTTCAGGACTACCGTTACAGAGATTGGCCCGGTGGCACAACCCGACGGCTCAAGACTTTCGCCCTATGAGCCGCTGCTAGTACCACACTTGTCCGCGCTCCGCCGAATCACTCACTACCAGTCTCGCACGGCTCCTCGCCAACAACTACACCTTCCGCTTCAACGCCCAGTCAATTACACTCTTCGCAACTAGCCACCGACTTACTCTTGTCGGTTAGCCCACTACCCTCGTGGCTACCTCATCGGCCGACAACGCGTTTCAACAACGTGAACATACGATCCCCGCGAACTCCGCGCGTTGACAATATTGTCATTCGCTCACTCGAGAGCCCTTGATCCGTCCACAGTACCTTCCTCTCGGTCCTACACCGCACCGAGTCCGGGCACACCTCGACGGAGCAACGAGCGCGCCTCACCGCCCTAAGGGGTCGTCCGGAATTCCGCTCACTCGCCCGACTCTATCCGACCCGATCTCCGCCTCCGAGGCCCGAGCTGGCCGTCACGTCCTGGCCCCGTTCCTCTGCACACTCGGCGGGTCTTGGTCCCCGCGCGTGAGTTTGGCACCCGTAGTCGTGCGTGGTCTGGATTCCCCAGACAGTCCCCCAGATCCAGCAGCTGTTTCCAACTGAGATGAAAATTGTGTGAACCCTCGGTCGCGAAACCTCGGACCAAAATAACTCGACCGAAAGTCTCGGTCGCACACCCTGACTGTTCACCACCCGAGCCGGTCACCACCAGACCATCACGCGAGTCCCCAGCAGCAAATTGATCGATCGAACGCCCTTCCGAAATTTCGACCCGTTCGTTGCCCGCGTTTGTATGTGTTGTTCGATGATGCGCTGCCGAGACATGTCTCCGTATTTGTTGTGGTCTTCATTTGCACCGAACGGTCAATGGGATGTTCTTTAGGAAAAAGTTCAAGACATACAACTCATGACGACGACGTCTCATAGCTACGCTTCAGAAAGAAAGGGCGTCGCTGAACGTCATTTCAGAATGACGGCAGGTCTACTGGCGGCAGTCGTAGGTGCACGATTGGACGGTGGAGTTCGGCAATTGGAGGTTGCTGATACCTTGGAACAGGTCTGGTAGAGTGATATCGGTCCCTGCGACCGCCACGACGTTGGACTCCTTAAAGGTGCAGGACAGGGTGGCGAAGGCGCAGGGGTCGCAGCTACGGATGTTCTGGAGCTCAGAGTCGTAGCAGCCAGCCGAGCAAGTGCCATGGCAGCCGGCGACAGAGGGGTGTTGATTGAGTAGATCTTTCGCCTGCTCCGCCACATCCGAGCCGGGGATGGTCTTGGAGGGGGGGATACTTCCCACGGTGGCAGGAGGGCCGAACCGGGCGACAATACTTCGCGCTTCCCTCGCGGCTTGTTCCTGGGGGCCTAGGCACAGGGCGCGACACAAGGCGGGATCGCTCCTTTCGACCGTGCTCCATACCTGGAGAAAGTCGAAGGGGTGCGGCGTGCCAAACTCGTAACAGACGGGATCGGTGTATTTACCCGCCACCTCACCGGAACATGTGATCGTGCCGAATCCGCCGATGCATGGCTCGAGAGTGGCCCAACCTTGTTCGCGCGTCCACTTCGCGTTTTGGAGTCGATCATCTTTTACCACTAGGCCACAGGCGTTACTGTCAAGCTTTAGTGTCTCCAACTGGGCCGGGGTGACACCCCTGATAGGCAGGCCGACGTGACCGTATTCGACCCTTGTGTTTGCTTTCGGGTGCCACATGTCCCAAGTACGCCAAAGACCGATTCCCAAAGCCGTCGCCGTCGCCGCTCCCACGACTGCCCCAGCCGTCCACGCTTTCCACGTGCAGCATTTGTGAGGCTGCGGCGCCAACGAAGAAACCACGGCGGCATCTGCGGTCGCCTCCTGCTCCACGTCCACACGCGTGAGTGGGTGCACCGAATCGACTAACACAGGCCGCCACTCCTCCGGTACAGCCTCCCACAACTCGTCCACGTCCTCCGACGTCAACGGCCGACTGGAAAGCATTTCCGGGCTGCGCTTCTTACCCGGCATCTTCGCCACGAACAGGTCTCCGAGCCTCTTCCCGAAAATCTCGAGGCAAATCTCGTCAGTCAGCTCCGGACCCGCCTTTTTCTCCTCCAAGTACCCCTTAATCACAGCCGCAAGAACCGCCGTGAAGCTTCCCATCTCCGGCGTCCCGCCGTGACCCGCTTCCCCACTCTCCATCAGCGACTCGGCAGACTCACCAAACGTGGTCGCCGTTCCCGCTTCCGTGGTCGGCGAGCATACCTTAATACGGTTAGCGTCATCGAGAAGACAAAACCGCGTGTTCTTCAGAAACTTCTCTTCCGGCGCTAAGACCAACATATCGATCGTAGGACCACCCTTGCAACCAACCTTGGCCATTCGGGCAAGACACCCATGGACACTAGACGTGGTCCCGTTCGGATTCACCAACGCCCCCAATAACACTCCACCCCAACTTGAGTTCCCTGAACCGACTTCAACACTCACGATCGTCTTCATCAAATTTTTTCACATCACAAAAATTCTCAAAAAAAGCTCTCGTCACGTCTCACCATGCCACCGTCGTGTCACCATCACGGGTTGCTCAAGCCACCTACCACATGATACCACCCACTAACACCAAAATGTTACTATCAAAGTGTTGGCTCAATGCTTTGTATCAATACCTCAATGCTTTGCCTCAAGAAAGTCCCTCCCTCTCCTCTGGCCATTATACGAAATAAGAAAACCCGAAACTTTGAACGTGTTCATTCTGTGACGGACCCCCATTCTGTGACGTCCTCTAGACAACCGCTGGAACAGCTGTGCTTTCACTCTTGAGGTGTTCGGACCGACTTGGTAACAAGTCAAATGAGGCAGTCGTAATAGCAGCCCTGGTTGACATACAAGAAGTTCATTTCGCCCATCGACACATGTTTGAAGAGCTGATCCAGGGTGGTGTTGATGCCGACTAGTTCGATAGTCTTCTTGTCTCCGCGAGTGCCAAAGTTGCACCGGACGGTAGCGAAAGTGCATCGGCAATGTTCGAGCATGGCCAGCCGGCTCGGGGAACAGGGACCGCAGTAGGACTGACATGTGGGATGGGATGGGTGGTCTTGAAGGACCCGGGTCACCGCCTTCTGCATGACCGCCGCCTCGGCTGGTTCAGGCGGCTCGGTGTTCAGCAGGGATGTAGGAAGGAGTGTGGGGGCGAAGGTCTGCAGCAGTCGGAGGTGGTAGAGGAAAGTGATCTCGTCTTCGGTGAAGCAGCTGACGCGGCAGAGCTTCTTCGCAGGCATGGTTTCATTCTTGGGCGCCGTGACGGCGCGGCGGACACCGAGGTAGTCGAGCGATGTGGGACTGCCAAAGACGTAGCACGGTGTGTCCGCCCAGTCCTCAGTTTCCCCACGACACGCCAACAGTCCGCTGCCGCCAGCGCAGGGGGCGAGCGCGTATTTCACCGCCGGCTCATATCTCCGGTCTGGGCACGACTTCACACGCGCCCATTCAAGTTCCGAGGCCAACGCAAGTCGGTCGGGAAATGCGTTTGCCGGCCGCGCCCACTCCGACGCTGACCGACGCTGCCCGAGCAACAGCCAGCCCAGGAAACCACCTGTCACCAACAAGGAACCCAGACTCGCACGCTCCCGCCATGTGTGCCAACCTGGACGCCAAGCACGCAACTTATCCGACCACCTCTTCACTCCGGACCACCCGTTCACTCTCACGCAGCCGCTGCCTTCCTCGCTCTCCTCGTAGCCGTCGTCCGCGTAATCGTCGTCTCCGCAACTGTCGTCCCGCTCGATAACCTCGTCCGTAATGCCGTCCAGGTCCAAGACCACCAACGGCTCCAACGGCTGGTCGCCCACCGGCTCGTGGACCACGGGCTGGTTGACTGACGGGAGCCTCCTCTGGCCGATTTCCGCGGTGTCAGAAGGTTGCACCGCGGCAGCCATGGCGGCATGCCAGTCGTCGGGGACGCGGTCCCAGAGTGCGAGGAGGTCTTGTGACGTCAACGGCGCCACGGCCGCGACGCAGGTAGTGCGGCGTCGGTAGCCGATGGGTCGCCGGAGGCAGTAGAACTCCGGTTCGGGTGGCTGGTCGAAAATTTCGAGCCAGACCTCGGCCATCGTCTCGGGCGCCACCGGCTTGCCACTCACATACTCCTGAAGGGCCGCGGCTAGGACGCGCTTGGCCTCCTCGTCAGGGGAGCTTATGGCAGATGGGGAGAGGGAGGGCCTGGCAGGGACAGGCGTCTCGGCAGGGATAGGCGTCTCGGCAGGGACAGGCGTCTCGGCAGGGACAGGCGTCTCGGCAGGGACAGGCGTCCCGGCAGTGACAGACGTCTCGGCAGGGACAGACGTCTCGGCAGGGACAGACGTCTCGGCAGGAACAGACGCTCCGCCAGGGACAGGGGGGGAGGTGTTATCGGCAAAGACACCTTCCTCGGGCGTGTACAGCTTGAATCTGTTCGAGTCCTGGATCAAGTCGAACCGGGTCCAGCGGCGAAACTTTTGTTCGGGCGCGAGCGCGAGGACTTGCAAGACGTGTCCACCGCGGACGTGAACGGAAAGCACACGTGCCACGCACCCATCCAGACTGGTCCGGCTACCGTTGACAGTCAGGAGCGCGCCTAGCAACTGTCCGGAACACCGAACGGCGGACACCGAACCCCACCTTCCGATCGACTTCATTAATATTCAGCCCAGGTGAACGCGAAGAAAACAAAATCGAATTTTCTATTTTGAGTATATCTGCCTTTTTTGGACCCCACCCGGTCTCTCGTCAACCAAGAGACAGAATCCGATGACATGAAGCCGGACGTTCCGGACAGTATTTAATTGTTCGTACCTGTTAGCAGGGCACCCGGAAGGGAACATCATAGTCCAGACCCGTGCTTAGCACGGCCCAACGCGATTCTTTCGTGTGCAATGTTTTCGGGTTTTGTTGACCAAAGAGTTTTAAGAACCTCAGATGATCGTCAGAGTGGCTGGCGAAGGTAGTTTGGTGGGCTCATAACCTTCGTCCAGTATGGTGGGTTAACTGGCACTGGCTCCGGTCTAGCAGGCATGATTCAGATTGCAGTATAGCAACTCTGGACGGAGCGTTTGCAGCGCATTTTGCACATCTGTAAAGGATTCGCCGATGTCACCACCGTACCTGAAACACATGCGCTGGTTTTTGTTTGCAATTGCGTCCCAGTAGTGGCAAACGAATGCACCCCCTCCGGGAAGGGCACAACTCTCAGGGAAATCAACAGGCTCACTGCTGTATGTCGAGCCTGTTCCGACACAGTCCTCCACCGGGACTTCCGCTCTTGACAGCACCCTCGGCCAAGGGACATCACACACCATCGGCCTTTTGGTCCTGCATTTACCGCTCGCCCGGCAGACTTTGAACGGGCTCTTTGATTGACCGCGGAACCAGGAGATGTCTCTAAATTTGAGCTGAGTCCCCATCAGAAAGCACCTCTTCTCAGGGTCGCTTTTACTCGTCAGACAATAAGGCACACCTTTAACACAGTGGGTATGTTTCAAGTTAGTTTCACGGACACAAGGCAGGATTGGGCATCCACCTCTCACCCGGCAAGCGTCTACCTTGTTGCCTGGAGATATGAACTTGGAGACGTATTTACGAATATTTGCAACTTCGGGCCAGCTCCCCCTCTGATAACACCTCTTCTCAGGTTCGTCTGTATCCAGCACGCATAAGCCGACACCGGCGACACACAACGCCTCCTCTTGGTCTAGTTCGTCGGCGCACCACCGGATATTCTTCATGTTGCCAATCGTTAATTTTCGGATCTTCGACTTCGTCGTCTTGCCAGTCGTTAGTGTGGTATTCGTCTTCGTCGTCTTGCCAGTCGTTAGCGTGGTATTCGTCTTCGTTTTTGTGTCAGTAACTACACAACTGTCGCTCGTGCGGCAAACGTTGTACATCCCAGAGGATGTCAGCTGCTCTAACGTACTAAGGTCGAATGTGGCGCCGAACAGCGCACAGCCCTTCTCAGGGTGTGCTGCATTCGTCACGCAAAGTGGGACACCATCCAGACACTTGGCCCCTTCCAAGTTGGTCTCATTGACACAAGGTAAGAACTCAGCTAAAGCCGTGGAGGTGCTGCCTGAGGATGCACCATCGGCGCCGGCAGGAAGGAAGTTCAAGTAGCACCCTACCACGCCAAGCAGC